CTTCTCATCTTTCATGATATCAGGGAAGTTTTCTGCCAACAAATCTTCAACAATTCTGTCTTTTCTGTTATACCCCCCTGTTCTGGTACTCCCATCACTCATAGGTTATTCCTCATGACAGAGTCCCCCATAATTCTTAGGGTCTTTTTATTTTTTAAAATTCTTTTATCTGATTTTTCCTCAAATCAGTTGGCGTCAAGTGCTTTATCTTCAGTCTCACTAATTCTGATTTCCATTGCCTCAATTCTGCTCCTATGACTTTCTATTGAGTTGTCTAATTCTGAAATTTTATTGTTAATCTTTTGGATTTCTGTTTGCTGTCTCTCTGTGGATTCTTGCAGCGTATTAAATTTGTCATTATGCTCTTTTATAACCTTCTTAAGTTCCTCTGTTGCTTTGCCTGTGTGTTCTTTTGCTTGGTCTTCGTTTTGCTGATCTCCTTCCTGACCTCTTGAGGAGTTCTGTATATTAATCTTTTGAATTCTACCTCCAGTAATGCCAAGATGTTCTCTTCCTCCCGAAGATTTCTTGATTCTTTGTTTTGGGAGCTTGCTGAATCCATCATGGCCTGCCTCTTTAAGTGATTTGATATTAACTGTTGTCTCTGAGCCATCAATAAGTTATTATATTATTTTACGTTTGCTTACTGTGTCCTAGCTTCTTGTTTTGTTTTGATATGCCCAAATAGGCTGCTCGTGTGAGCTAATTTGATTATTAGTGTCTTTGAAGCTGTCATGTCCTGTCTCCATGTGGCTAGAGCTGTTACTAGGTATGTGAGCCCAAGAGTCCATTTACTTTTCTTGTGTGGATTCAGCTCAGGTGTCTAGGTCGTTGGTCACTGATTGTGTGGTGCAGTCTCTCACCTACCGTCCTAGATGGGCAGCAGTGATTGGAGTAGGCACAGGTATCTGGCTGCAGTAGGGGGTCATGTGCTAATCAAGGCAGGGGGCTGATGGCTGCCCCTTAGTGTGTGAGTGGAAGGCACGTCCCTGTTCCCTAGAGCACATAAGTAGGGGGGTTTTGCAGCCAGACTATGGGCACCCAGTGCTGTTGGCTGTAAGGACTGGAAGGCAGCACTTATTCTTGGACCCGTCTCATGTGGCTTGGTGGTGTGGGTGGAGCCACCAGCCCTCAGGCCCCTGATGTGGGTAGGTGAGGACACTGCTTTATGGGCAGAGTAGTGTCAAATGTCACGAATCTGCCACTCTCCGTTATAGCTGATACAGATGAAAATAGGCTTTAGGTATATACCCTGTTGTACTGTGCTAATGAGGGCCTACACTGTTGAAATGAGCCCACACAGGTCTATGCAGGGGTGAAAGGCACTCAAAGTCCATGGACCCCTTATGCCTGTGCCTAGGCAAGGAGTTGTGCCTACTCTGAGTTCCTGGTTTAGGGGAGCCAGCAGATTATTTTTTCCCGTTTGTTAATTTGTTCCCTCTCCAAGGCCGGGAGAATAGCTCAGGGCGCGTGACGGGTCCTACTTCTGCCCCAGGTGACTCGGCAGTTGGTGAAGCCTTCCCAGACCCGGTGCAGAGCAGGGAGCAGGGAGGTAAATGGGAGAGAGGTTTTTCCCAAAGGGGGATGTTTTTGATCCCCGTGGTAGGCCAGATGCAAGTACCTATCTTTCGCCGATCGAGCTCTGCTTCTCACTGGTGCTGGATGCCTGAGTAGAACTCTCTGCCGCTGCGTCTCTGCTGATGTGGAAAATGCACTCCCCCAAACGCCACTGTTTGCCTCACCATGCACACGAGCTGATCCAGCCTGAAGGGCTCCAGCTCCTGCCAGGTCAGGTCTAGCAACTCCTCACTGCTTCTGAACCCTCTCTCTCTCCCTCTGCCACTGAGTCTGATTCCTCAACTTTGCCTTTGATGTTCAGGGCTCCTAGATTGTCATATATATTCGATTCACTTGTTTTTTCGGATCTTTGTAGTAGGAGGGACCACCGGAAGCATCTGACTAGTCTGCCATCTTGGCCCAGCCTCCTTTCATAAACTTTTTAATGGCTATGTAATATCCCACAAGATGTATGTACCATAATTTATTAACTAATCCCCTATTTTGGGACATGTAGGTAATTTTGTAAATTTTCACCATCAACGAAGGCTGCAATAGATAATCTCTTCCGTTTGTCTTTAGCTGCATTTTCCCTGAAGGCAAAATCTTAGAAAAGAGATTACCAGGCTAAGGGGATACCAAATGGCTTTATGGGAAAGTGTACCACTTCACTGCCACCCCCTGCATCCTCCAGAAACTAGAGTGTTTATTGAGCTGTTTTATTCTTGTGGGCTTATTCTAGGCGGCTTTGCACTAATGTAACTTACAGACCTCCTGAGTATTCCTCCTGATATCTGAAATATTCTCTCTCTCTCTCTCTTACTTTTTGGTTTTTCTCAGTGCTGTGGCCCTGCTGGTGGGGGAGAAAGTACAGGAAGAGACCACTCTAGTGGTAAGTTGTGGGGCCCTCCCTGGGCTGTGGGTAGATGTGGCTGCCCTTTCTTAGGTGGGTGGTTGTTTTATTTGTTTTTCTTTTTCTTTAAGGAGATTCTACTGCCAGTTATATAGATGCTTCTTCTAAACTGCATTTGCTTTCTACAGGATGATCCCTTTCAGGTGAAGACAGGTGGTATGGTGGACATGAAAAAACTGAAGGAGAGGGGCAAAGATAAGTAAGTACAGGACGTGCTAGGGTGTAAACCCACCTTTAGCGTGTGTCTGGGCCCTTTTGCTCTCAGAGAGCCTTAGAGTGAGGTGGGTAGACTCCTTTGGTAAAGTTTTTTTTTTTTTTTTACAAAAAATAAAGGTTATTATTATTATTACTTTAAGAAGAAAAAACACAATTACATTCAATCAGTACAAAAGTTTAAAAAATAAAAGGATCCACTCATTTCCTAGAGGTCAGCAGTTTGCTTGCATATATTTCTAGAGTTTCTTCTATTTACATGCCATGTATATTTCATTTTTCCCCAAACATAAACAGCATCATACTATCCTTTATTTTGTTGTATGCCTGTTTCATTGAGTTGTAACTTTAAAGATCACCCTCACTGTTCTTTCCCTGTAGGATTAGTGAAGAAGAAGACCTCCACCTGGGGACATCATTTTCCGCAGAAACCAACCGAAGGGATGAGGATGCAGACATGTAGGTCTACGGCTATGAACAACTGGGGGTGGGCTCCAGCCAGATACAGTCTAAGATATTTCATCAAAGATGACATTTCTGTAATTTTCCAAAGATGTCAAAGTTGGCCTCCTTCTCCTCACCTCCCAGACTTGAGAACTTTGCAAACTTCCTGAAAATTCTTTAAAAGGGTGTATCCTAGGATTTTAGATTTTAGGGATAAATATGGACTTGCCCACTTTTTACTTTCCCAACAAGGCTGTTAAGCAAATAGCTACCATCTACCATCTTTCTATCTTCAAAGAATCTTACATATCATAACACCATAAGGTATAATCTTACAATATAGGCCGGTGCTTTAAATTGAAAAAATTTAGCTTGATGAAAAAACTCAAGTTATTTTTCTCATTTCTCCATGGAATGATGAAAGCTTTATCATGGACTGATGCTGGTCTGTTTGATAGTGTTGTTGTTGTGTGCCATTGAGTAAATTCTGACTCATAGCAATTCTGTAAGACAGAGTAGAACTGCCCCATAGGGTTTTCTAGGCTGTAGTCTTCACAGGAGCAGATCACCAGGTCTTTTCTCCAGGGAGCCACCGGTGGGTTCAGACAGCCAACCTTTTAGTTACCAGCCAAGCGCTTAACCATTGCGCCACCAGGGCTCCTTTTTGTTAGTGTTAGGGACCACTAATTTAGAAAACACCTGTTCTGAGCTCCTGTTTCCTCCCTGAGGCCTGTGTGTTTCTCATTTTAGGATGAAATATATTGAGACAGAGCTGAAGAAGAGGAAAGGGATTGTGGAACATGAGGAACAGAAAGTAAAGCCAAAGAATGCAGAGGACTGTCTTTATGAACTTCCAGAAAACATCCGTGTTTCCTCAGCAAAGAAAACTGAGGAGATGCTTTCCAACCAGATGCTGAGCGGCATCCCTGAGGTGGACCTGGGCATTGAGTGCGTTTCAGGCCCGTTGTCTCGCCTCCCTCTGGCCCTAGGCAAAAGGAAGAGCTCTCTGCTTCCCAGTTAAAATTTAAGGGGACTATTTCTTACCTGTCTCCTTGGAAACCTACAAATATAAACTATTATCATTCTTTGTGGCAGGCATGAGATGGTTGTTGCCAGGAGTTTCAGGGTTGCAAGGCTTAGTCAGGGCAGCTGAAGAGACTTAAGGGACCCTGACCGCTAAAAGCAAAAGTTTTTAACTTTTGTCACAGCTCTTCAACTGTTCTAATCAGGACCTTTTATTCTGTTTTATTCTAGCGGAAGCAACATTAAAGGTTCAACCAACCCCTCACTCTGCGATCCTCCTTTCATTTTAACTACAAAATACCTGCTTTGAAAGGGGATTGCCATGGAAGAAATACAATGGTCAGAATCATCTTTGGGTGTAATAGAAAGTTGAGAGACTCCTGAGTTCTCAAATCTCTTCTAGCCTTACTAGCTCTGAGCCTTAGACAGTTCACTTAACTCCTCTTAGACTTGATATCCTCTTAACCAGAAGCTGGAGAGAACTGTGCCCTAAGAAAGATGATTTCCTTGTGCAGTGGTGGGTTGCCAGCCTTACTAGCCATTTCCGTCTGAGTACCAAACATGCTATCAATCTAATCCATGGTCTGGCTCCTTTCTCCCTGTAGTGCCAAAATAAAAAATATTATTTCCACGGAGGATGCCAAGGCCCGACTGCTGGCAGAGCAGCAGAATAAGAAGAAAGACAGTGAGACATCCTTTGTGCCCACCAACATGGCTGTGAATTATGTGCAGCACAACCGATGTAAGCATCTCTGGGAAAGCAGCCCATCCCTGCCCCCACCCATTGGGAACACCACATACAGTCTGACATGTCCCCTGATCTCTTTTGGTCCAGTTTATCATGAGGAGCTCAACGCCCCCGTACGGAGAAACAAAGAAGAACCCAAAGCCCGGCCCTTGAGAGTAGGCGACACCGAGAAGCCAGAGCCTGAGCGTGAGTACAGCAGGGCTGCCTGCAGCTGTCAGTGCTCTGGGGTCAGCGCTGGAGGGCTCACAGAGGCAGAGTGGGCTGGGGAGGGGCATCTGGGTTCCAGTCCATGCTCTGAACCACAACCACATGCCTTCACCTCTCCAAGCCTCAGTTTCCTCATCTATAAAATGGGAATAGTAGCAGAACCTCTTGAGCTGTCTCTGAGGATTTAGTAGGCTATCGATATAGTACAGATCCCAAAAATTAGAAAATTTCAATAATTGCAAAAATGAATTAAAGTCAGCAGATGAATGGGTAAGCAAAATGTACATACATACAGTAGAATATTATTCAACCATAAAAAGTAATGAAGTTCTGATACATGCTACAACATGGATGAACCTTGAAAACATGCTGATGGGGAGTGATTGCTTGATGGGTACAGAGTTTCTGTTTGGGATGATGAAAAAGTTCTGGAAATAGATAATGGTGGTGGTTGCACAACATTGTAAAGTATAATTAATGCCATTGAATTGTATAGTTCAAAATGGTTAAAATGGCAAATTTTATGTTCTATATAAAATTTTTTAAAAATCATACCCCCTCCTCCAAAAAAAATTACTCGTAATTTCACCACCCAAAGACAACCACTATTAACATTTTTGTGTATAATCTTTCAGTAATACACCTTGCATGTCTCCCCATGATAGTAAATGATGTTTTTGTTTTTTCTTGGTGAAAATATACATAGCAAAACATGCACCAGTTCAATAATTTCTACATGTACAATTCAGTGTTTTCATTTTTATTGGCAGTATCACGTTCCATTGTTTAGATAGATGTACTGTAGTCTAACCATGCCCTTCTTGTTGGACCCTTAGATTGTTTCCAGTTTTTCCCTATTTCAAACAATGCTTTCCTGATCATTCTTAAATATATCACGTCCTTAGGCCACATTCTGAGATTTTGCCAATTTATCCTCCAGAAATGTGATGCTAACTTGTTCTCCCATTGCCAGCATCTAACAGTGCCCTTTCCCCACATGTTCACCAGCACCAGGTGGTGTCATCTTTTCTGTCAACAATGGTATAATTCTGAAGAAATGCTAAATTTGTTGAAGTTTCCAAAAATTCACCCTGTTGATGTGTTTTCTTACTTCCTACCTGGGAAATTATTTTTTGTAATATTTTAGTTGTATGTCCTTGATCTCAGAATAGTTTCATGTTATTAACATGTAGTGGAGTCTCCAGATGTGGGTTCAGACCTCAGCCTGCCTTCACTTTCTTAGTGACCTTAAGCAAGTCACCTAAACTCTCTGAGCAGGGATGGTGATATGCCCCCGTCTAGGGTAGTTGTGAGGATTAAAGGAAATAATGCCTACTATTGTTCAGCTAGGGGCCCCGGTGGCACAGTGGATAAGCGCTTGGCTGTCAACCAAAATGTCAGTGGTTGGAACCCACCAACCACTCCACAGGAGAAGGATGTGGCAGTCTGCTTCCATAAAGATTTACAACCTTGGAAATCCTGCAGGGCAGTTCTACTCTGCCCTATAGGGTCGCTATGAGTCGGAATTGACCTGATGGCAGCAGGTTGGTTATTGGTCACCTATTTAGTGCTGATGTCAGCATTATTTCGGCTGGCACTTGACTTCAGTGTATGCGTATTATTTTCATTCATTCAATAACAGGTATTTACTAGTCCTACTGTGTTCCTGTTCACTGGGTTAGACCCTGGGGCTCCTCTGGGGAATGCAGCAGGCATGATCGTTGCCTGTGTGGACTTAAAGTCTAGCAAGTGGGTTCTAGCATGGCAAACAGCCTTTCCCATTCTTTTCCTTCTCAGGGTCTCCTCCTAACCGCAAGCGTCCCTCTAACGAGAAGGCCACTGATGACTATCACTATGAGAAGTTCAAGAAGATGAACAGGCGGTACTGAGGGTGGCTGAAGGGGAGAAATGCAGGATGGGATGTAAATAGCACCTCCTCCTCCCACGGAAACAGGTTTCATGGACAAGACCTGATGATTTATTAGTGGACAGTTCCAAAAACAGACTCTTGGTGCTGCTGCCTACCTGCTGGATTTTTCAAGCAATGAATTTATAACCTTTTGAAACAAAATATACAGTTTTCCTATTTGGGGACAAACTCTATTCTTGTGAGCATTATTAAATCTTATCTGTAAATATGTTGACTTTCTGTTTGTTCTGGATCAGGAGGAAACAGCTATGTGTTCAGGGTGAGATAATACCCTTTAGATTGTGTTTTTATTATATATGCAATCATGTCTTCTTCCAAATATCTGGAATGGGGTTCAGAACTACATACTTCATTGCAGCCTGTCTAGAGTGGATCCATCTGGCAGCAGAAATATGTAGGATGGGACCAAAGGGACACTCATATTTTCTGGCTTTTACAAAGTTACCTGTTTCTTTTCATTAAAAAAAAAAATTCTATCACTTTTAGCACATAATTATTAAATACGAAATGAATCCAGCTTTGTTGCTTGTAATGTGTTTCTTTAACCAACATTAGGTAATTTTTCAAGTCCAGGGGTTGTACAGCTCAAATGCAAAACTGAATTACTGAGATAGACTTTCTCATTTAGTTCAAAAGACACGGACATGCTCCCACCAATCCAGCGTCCAGTTACTGTCGCAAGTACATGGCTACTTGTGCTGTCATTTTTCCTGAGCAGTAACACGTCAGGATGAGGAAGGAACAGTTCAATTAACTTCTGGGCTGATTTAGAGTGGGTGTTGCCTTTAGAGAGATTTGGCTCTGGAGTCAGTCAGGTCTGAGCCCTGCTCACAGCTTACTAATTGTGCCCTTGGACAAATACCTTTCCCTCTGAGCCTCAGTTTTGTCATCTGTAAAATGAAAATTGTTTTGTTTTCTCCACTAGAATGCAAGGTCAATGAAGGCAGAAAGTATGTATCCCTTATTTTTTCTTTGAATCCTCAGGACCTAGCCCGTTGCCTGATATGTAGGTGGTCCTCAAAAATATGAAGGAATGTATGAGTGAATAATCCTTACCTCCAGCATGGTGAGGATGAGAGATGATATGCAAACTGTTTGGTTTATAATAGGTGCTCAATACCATGTTATTTTTAATATAATG